GTACGATAAATTTGCAAAGGAAATTAACGTTTAATCGAGCGAAGGGGATTCTCTCTGGATTTCGCGCCAGCTATGCACTCGCTCGTGCAGTGAAAAATCATTACCTTTCACGTTTCGAAGTTTCACGTACAAGTATACCTCAAGTATACCTATACTGTCGTTTAATTTCGAACGGTCTTTTAACACTGGAAACTTTCGCTTTTTCCAAAAATTTCCATCGGAGACGTTAGAGTAAAAGAAACAGAAAATTTTTATGATAGGTTGGACAAGCTTTTATTCGTGTATTTTACGAAGAATCATTCAAGTCTCCAAAAATGTACATGTATGAAATATCTAACAAATAGTTTCACATCTGTACGATATCCAACAAAGTATGATAATTTCACATTTATAAGATATCTAACGAAAATATTCAACTGGTCATTTTGATAGTTCTAGCATTAACACCGATATCCACGGACGATGTCGTAAGTAAATCGATTCGCGAGCCAAGAAGAATCCATTTTTTAAGGATGGCTCAAGCTTGCAAAAATATATTCTTTTATATCTATTTTATACCTAACAAAAATATTCAAACGGTCCATTTCTTTGACAATTAACGTCAATGCCATCATATCCACGGACGATGATGTAAGGAAATGGATTCGCTAGCCAAGAAGATCCATCTTTCAAGGATCACTCAAGTCTCCAAAAGTATAAAATATACGACAAACATATTCAAACTTCTTAACCATTCTTTGACCATTTTGGTAGTTGTGGCATCAACGCCATAATAGTCACGGACGACGATGTCGTAAGTAAATCGATTCGCGAGCCAAGAAGATCCACCTTTTAAGTCCGCGGGCTCAAACATTTAACCGACAGTAACTTCGTTGGTGATCGTTCGCCCTCGATCGAACAGAAGTATCAAGAGTACGTACTGGAGCCACTCCAAGATCACGTTCGATCGGGGCCGCAAGTCCGGCAACTAGAGCAGTAATTCCCAGGAGATTAGAGACGCGGGGAAACTAATTTATGGCGGTGGAAATTCTGCTTGCCGGGCGCGCTGCGTGCATGTACCGGATGCCCAAGGATATCCAGTGTCTTTACGTATATACGAAATATACATACGCGCGTACAAAGACTCGTTAGAAACGCGGTTTTCGACCGCTCGCCGACCATGTCCAGACAGTCGTAATCAAAGAGAATGCGGTAGATCGTCCGAGAAAAGAGATGGATTAAAACGCGATCACGTGGATCCGGGTGTTGTTCTAATTTCACCAGGAAAACTGTTCGTTGCTTTATTTAAATGATGGAATGACGCACGTCGAGAATACTTTGCTCCAAAATTGTAATATTTTCTCAGTTTTAAGTATATCTGTGAGTAAAAGATTTATTATCTCTCAATCATTTCTATCCAGTGATGTCATACCGATGAGTTTAAAAAGAAAGCGAGTTATTGTATAAAACGAATTATTGTATACGGTATTGTATACTCGTTATGGTCCGCAATCAGTTGCCAGCGCAAGTGGTTAAGGATACCTATAACAATGTCGTTTTCTGACACTGTAGAAAATTTCATTTTATTTAAAAGTTAATGCAGCTTTAATCTGTAATATAATTTAACANGCAATCAGTTGCCAGCGCAAGTGGTTAAGGATACCTATAATACCTATAACAATGTCGTTTTCCGACACTGTAGAAAATTTCATTTTATTTAAAAGTTAATGCAGCTTTAATCTGTAATATAATTTAACATTAAACACACTATAGATCAATGTATTTAACTAGAATATAGGTTATATTAGCATAACATTGGTTATGTTATAACATATTATTATATTACAGCATAACATGTTATAATCAGTAAAATTATATTTAAGTAAAACAAAATAGGCAAAACAAATAATAAATTTATTACTTCTCAATAATTTCTATCCAGTGATATTATACTGACGAGTTTAAAAAGAAAGCGACGAATTATTGTATACGGTTTTGATCACTCGTTATGGTCAGCAATCAGTTGCCAGCGCAAGTGGTTAAGGATACCTATAATACCTATAACAATGTCGTTTTCCGACACTGTAGAAAATTTCATTTTATTTAAAAGTTAATGCAGCTTTAATCTGTAATATAATTTAACAATAAACACACTATAGGACAATGTATTTAACTAGAATATAAGTTATATTAGCATAACATTGATTATATTATAACATATTATTATATTACAGCATAACATGTTATAATCAGTGAAATTATATATTTAAGTAAAACAAAATAGGCACAACAAATAATAAATTTATTACTTCTCAATAATTTCTATCCAGTGATATTATACAGACGAGTTTAAAAAGAAAGCGACGAATTATTGTATACGGTTTTGGTCACTCGTTATGGTCCGCAATCAGTTGCCAGCGCAAGTGGTTAAGGATACCTATAATACCTATAACAATGTCGTTTTCCGACACTGTAGAAAATTTCATTTTATTTAAAAGTTAATGCAGCTTTAATCTGTAATATAATTTAACATTAAACACACTATAGATCAATGTATTTAACTAGAATATAGGTTATATTAGCATAACATTGATTATGTTATAACATATTATTATATTACAGCATAACATGTTATAATCAGTGAAATTATATATTTAAGTAAAACAAAATAGGCAAAACAAATAATAAATTTATTACTTCTCAATAATTTCTATTCAGTGATATTATACAGACGAGTTTAAAAAGAAAGCGACGAATTATTGTATACGGTTTTGATCACTCGTTATGGTCCGCAATCAGTTGCCAGCGCAAGTGGTTAATGCAGAATCTCACCGCTGAAGTAACTTGTAAAATCCACCACGGAAGAAATTTATGTCTGTTGCGTGTGCACGTTCGGCATAGTCGATGTTTCATTTCAACATTTGCGTAAACCTGACAGAGATTAAATTCTCACACTCTTATCTATTATATGCCGAAAAATGTCACAGGAATTTACGATGCTTGTAAAGAAAATTAATGAAAAATGAACGAAAGAACAAATTGATAATTCGACAGACTTTGCGTGTGTCGCTGCACGCCAATGGCTTGATATAAAATAACGAAACGACGTGCATAAGAAATACACGTGGCAAAGAATGTGAAATTAGCCGACGGCAAATCCTCTTGTCCTCTCCTGTTCCGAGTACTCTGTTCAATCATTCTCTTCTAAGTAGGATTATACCGGCATAAGCTAAGACAATGGCGTTCTTAGGTGCGCGGATCAGGCCTAAGTGGTTTAAATTTCGACCACGGCGAACGAAAATCTCCTTGCGTCAGGCAAGGATTTAATTATTCCGTTCGTATTGATAAAATTCTCGAATACAAAATTAGCCGGACGACGTTGTGCAACGCTTATTAACAGGTTGATCGAAGCGTTACCCATATCTGGGTGACAGTCAATTGAGGCTGCACACGAGTGACGATTTTAATTTTAAATTTTTCAGGCAAGAAAGGACGTGATAGTGTTGCAGTAGAAGAATAAGTTTTTGGTGGTAAATTATTTTCAAGTTGAACAAATTAAATTACCAAGCAACGATGCGATTAATAATATAGTAAAGAAGTCGTAACTACTTTACTTACGTGAAAAATACATGATATAACTATAACAATTATTTATAACATGTTGAAAAACTAACTTGAGAGATTTAGAGATCACATTGCAAGTTCCCCAGGTGGTCTATACTCGAGGGATGCGAAACTTCTAACTTTGACAAGCTAACACTGAAGAGCGTCAACAAAAAACAAAAGCATGAAAACGGAAGAATAAAAGATAAAAACAAAAAAAAAAAGATACTAGACAGGATACTAGATTCGTGGCCCTGCAAGAAATATGCGCTTGGCGATCAACGTGTTAAATTAGCTTTTACGAGTAACTACAAGACAGAGTCTTGTCCTGAGACAGTTTGTTGAATTCGCGTAATCGCAGACGGCAATTTTCCGCGGTGAAAATAATCGCGTCGGCTGAAGATGAAGAGCGCGCGCGCGCGCGCGCGCCTTTTAGGGGATGAGGGGAAGAGGGGAAAGCAGCTGACCTCTCACCTTATTTCGTGAGAACTGCACCTCCGCTCCTTTTGTAATCCCAGCACGCGAATCGAATTTAAGAAAGCCGACAGCCCAGCAGCTCTGCAAAACTGCTGGCAAAGTTTTAGTTGCACTCGCTGCACGTCGCGCCGTATACGTGTACACCGGTATTCTCTCGACGCTCTCGAGACTGCCATCGACTCGATTTCCGAGTCGGTCCGTTAATAAATCGAAGAGATTCGAACGAACGATGTGAACTTGAATTTGGATTTGGATTCGATCTCGACTCGACTCGAGGCGCTGGGAGAAAGGATCGAAAATTCCGGTGGAGATCGGAGATTTACCTGCTGGACGTTGTAAATGGAGGACGGTGGAACGAGGAAGGGCATCGTTTGGGAAGAGGAAGAGTCGTTTCGCGTGCTGGTGACAGAGACCGCGAGGCGACGAGACGAGACGAGACAGAACGGGACGGGACGGGACGAGACGAGACGCGAAAGGGGTGATGACGAGGGCGAGGGAATGGGTTCGGCTGTGCAACTGGGAAATCCCGGTAGGCGAATCGAGTTTAAGAAAGTCGAGGCGAGAGTCAGTGAGTCAGTCAGGCAAGCAGCAGCCGGTCGTCAACGGCGGTAGTTGGTGAAATCGCAGGATACCGGCTGTGCTGGTGGTCGGTGGTACTCTGTGTACTCCACTCTGTCGGAGGACGCAAGCGCGCTGGCGCCCCTTATCGAGTTCGAGAGCAAAAGCGACGGGGAAGCCGTGGGATGGCAGTGGATGTGCAAGCATACATACATACATACATACATACATACATACGTACGTACGTACGTACGTATATAGATAGAGCGTGCATAGGAATGAGAAAGGGAGGGAAAGGTGCGCGAGCCGAAGAGAGAGGAAACGAGAGAAAGAAGGGTGGAGGGTTGTAGGTGGCGGCACACAGCCAGCCTGGAGGCCGAAGGGAGTGAAAGAGAGGCGGAGATCGGGTGGACGAGGATGAGAGGGGAGGGAGAAAGAGAGAGAGAGAGAGAGAGAGGTGGCGGGTGTCAGCTACGAGTCGGGCGCCGCAGTGTTTGTCAGTCCTTCGTATGGACATCACGTCTGACGCGGCTGATAGTCTAGTCTCGCGCTCCTGGCATTCGTGTGTACGCGTAAGTTTTGGCGGCAGCATCCATCATCACCTCCGGTGCGGGACGTGTTGTCGCGCGTCAAATTCGCCCGTCGATGAGCTGCCGGACGTGCCTATGCTCGTCGCTCGCAACTTGGTCGTCGCAACCCCGCGCGGATCGTCTACTCGCATCCGATTGTCCGCGCGAGCGGTAAGTAATTCGAGGATCGACCTCGAATCGTCGATCGAGACGATGTGAAGACGACGCCGCGATTGGAGGCGATGTGGCTTCCGTTGATGCTGCTCGCCTTGATGGCGAGCGGTTCCGCGTGCCCGGACCTGTGCCAGTGTCATCCGAGTGCCTCCGACCAAGAACTGCCGGCTCTGGTGCGTGTCAAGTGCCGTGCTCGTGCGCCGCCGTTGGCGGAATTGCCGATCGAGACGAGGAGCCTCGCGATCGAGGGTGCCAACCAGTACGAGGTGATCGATTTCTTCGACGAATTGGAGTCGAGCGATTCGCTCGACGATTCGCTCCAAGTGGTCCAAAACGGTGGTACGTTGAACTTGGGCTTGGACGTTACGAACGGTACGTCGGACGATTCCCTACGCAACTCGACGACGACGACGACGACGACGACGACGACGACGACGACGATTCTTCCCTACCTCGAGGACCTGTCCTTGACGAACTGTTCGCTGGTGTTCTTGAACGTGTCGTGGCGCGGTTTCGAGCGCGTCACCGCGTTGAACCTATCATGCAACAATCTGGCACGGTTGACCGACGTGCTAGCGGCCGGTATGACAAATATGAGCGAGCTGACGCGTTTCGACCTGTCCGACAACTCGCTGACAGCCGTGAGTGCCGGGGCTTTTAGGACGCTTGCGGGATTGGTGAGGTTGAGTTTGCGTAGAAACGCGATATCAAGCGTGCACGAGGACGCGTTCCGAGGACTGGATCGGCTGGAGTTTCTCGACTTGTCGGACAACCGGCTGGCGGATCTGCCGGACAGCGCGTTGACGCCGCTCTACTCTTTGCAGAAGTTGGACCTAAGTGGGAATCAGCTGCAAGTGCTCGGCGCCAGGTGGTTCGAGAGCCTCGACCGATTGAGGGAGCTCGACGTATCGAGGAACGGGTTGGCGCGGGCGGCATCCGGAACTTTGCAACCGCTCGCGGGATTATCGATACTGAAACTGTCGGAGAACCCACTGAAAGAGAGGGACGTCTCCCTGTTGTTGGGTACCGGCAGACGCTTGGAGACGGTGGACGCGTCTCGCACGGGCCTGGCCAGAGTTCCAGCCGCTCTCACGAGATCGGTCCGGGCGCTCCGACTGGCCGGCAATAAGTTGACCACCATTCGCGGCGGCGATCTCGACAGTTATCCTCTGCTGCGGATACTCGACATCTCGGAGAACCGACTGATCGACATCGAGGACGACGCTCTCGGACGGCTGGAGGTACTCGAGCAGCTGGACATATCCGGCAACGTTCTCGCCAAGATCCCGGGCAGCCTGCCCAACAGTCTGACGAGCCTGAAGCTCCGGCGAAACGCGATCACCGCGTTGAGGGTGGACGATCTCCAGGGGCTGTACAATCTGAGGTCCTTGACGTTGAACGACAACGACATCAACGAGATCGAGGTGGGAGCGCTCGGTCAATTACCGGCACTCGAGGAGCTCGATCTGTCGGATAATCCTGTTAGAACGTTGCCGGCCAACGCGCTCAGCGGGCCGAGCAACCTCGCCAGGCTCCGTATGTCGGGATTAACTTGGCTCGAGCGAAAGCAAGAGGTGCAGGGTGACATGGCGTTTCCGGTGCCCACACCCGAAAGGCTCGTGTTTCTCGACGTGTCGAGGAGCCCGGTTCTGGCCAGGCAGCTTTTAGCCGACGACGCCGCGCTCTCCGCCTGCAAGAGCCTGATCGAGTTGAATCTGTCGCAGACCGACATCACCGCGCTCAGGTTCGATCTGCCTTACATGCTGCCGCAGCTGCGTGTCCTGAACCTGAGCGGGAACCGTTGGCACTGCACGGAGGATCTCTATTGGCTGGGCGAATGGCTGCGGCAACACCGACAACTGAACAAAACCGGTCAACCGCCGGCGGGTCGGTGCGATACACCGCGGGAAATGTCAGGATCACCTCTCGACCAACTACCATCGCCGCCGAGTCCTCTGCCCACCACCGTCACACCCACGATCTTATGGACGACTTCGACGTTATCGATCCTCTCTCCGATCGAAAGTGCATCTCGTTTTAATAATAACAACGTAACCGCGTCTTCCAACGTTACCGACGTCGTTGACGTCGTCGACTCCCTCAGCGACGAATCACCAGCACCAAGTCTCGTCAACGACACCAGCAGTATCAGCGTCAAGCAGTCGACAATCGACGAAGGAATCGCGGACTCGAATCGCGTTACGTCGCTGCCCGATAACAACCAGACGACGACCGCCACCTCCACGTTCCGGAACGTCACGTCGCCGAGCAGCAGAATGACAGAGGGGAACGAGCGGAGAAGCACGCCGAGCGCTAGAGCGATCGGAATCGAGGAGATCTCGTCGGAGATGAAAAATTCAATTACAGACGTCGCCGGGCTGTCGCCACGCCAAGGGAGAGGCAACGGGGACAAACCGTCAATTATCAAGATGGAGGAGCAGAAGGAAGAGGGGACTTTTGATAATCGTATAGACGATAAACAGAGGCAAAGGAGCAGGAGACCGAGCAAGATCTCGAAACGTCCCGCATCGTTTGGACAGCAGCAGCAACAGCAGCAGCAGCAGCAGCAGCAGCAGCAATCGGGAGAAAAGAAGAAGACGGAAGAGAAGAGCCTGCAGACAAAGGAGAGTTCGTCCACGGTCACGGGCAACACTCCGGACTCGAACACGATTGCGGAGGAATTGAACGGGCGGGCGACCGATTCCGACGCGAGGGTCTCCGAGGCTTTGTCCGCCGGCGCTCATCCGGGAATGTTGGTGCTGGCCGGTGCAGCACTCGGTGCCGCAGCTGCGCTCACCGTGGTGTTGTCGCGGCGAGCCACCGTACGCCGAAGGGACAGGTACCATCGTCACGAGAACATCGAGGTGCACACGCTCACGCCGACCACCGAACTTTGGTGACCAGACTCGGAGTACGCTCGATTGTTCGACCGAGATAAGCGAGGGACGGGCAACGAGGACTACGAGAAACGTATGGAGATCTTGTCAATATTGTCTCAGCGGCTACGGAGGACGCGGCCGAACTATCCGCGCTCGTGCCCACCCGGGAACGAAATGCCAAATTAAATCTATTTTTCATTTTTCCCTTTCCGTTTCGCCGCGATTCCGTACGTCGGCCGCACGCGAGTATAGCCAAGTGAAACACGAACAAACTCCGATAGAGAAGCTTCGAAGAAGCTGACCAACCGACAGCGAGAGGCTAACAGACCAGGGACTTGAACAAGAATTCGTCTCGATACGAAGGTTTGCTGATGATTTCGTCGGTCAGCCAGTGGTTTCTTTCTCTTCGGGCAACACTGGGGCAAGAACTGGACGACGAACGAGAGCAGTTTGGCAGATTAACTGTAAGATGTACAAGGCTCAACAACAGATCGCTTTGCTTCTCACGGGAGGGAGAAGCTAAAGTACATAGTTGCAGATTCGGCTTTGGCTTTGGCTCCCGTCGGGAGATACACCGGGCCACAGGGAGAGAGTCAAAGGAAGTTCAGTTCGGCGAAGGGAACTGTTGGCCGAGATACCGCGGCGAAGAGATCAACTCGAGTCGGATGATCGGTGAAATTTTCGAAAAAAAACCAGCGACTCGTCGATTTTGCGGACTGCTTGACAGCTCGAAAGAGAGAGCAGAGAGTCGACTTCCTTTCGGTACCTATCTCGGCGCGAGACGACGAACGACAATGAGACAAAGAGAAATCGCAGGTGGCAATAAATGAGAGAAAGAGGGAGAGAGGAAAGAAAAAAAGAAGAAAAAAAACACAAGCAGTCTCTCGTACTGCATCGATCTCAGGCGATCGGAACGTTAAATAGCACACAGTGACAATAATAATTGTAACGTGCCGCGTTTCTGGATTGGTACTTTTCACCGTACGCGCGTTGAGGACGCTTCCAGTGGACTGGGACGGGGAAGTATAATACTTACTTACGAGGGGGAACCCGTGTGGTGAGAAAGAACGAGAGAGAAGAGAAAGCGAGAGAGAGAGAGAGAAAGAGAGAGGGGGGAAAGAAAGAGAGGGAAAAGACGAAAGGCGAGAAGAAATTGATGGGACACGGGGAACGTGCTGGCGTGAAATTCGCGGTGGCGAATTGTACGTTTGAATGACAGTGCGAGACGGGAAGCGAGAGCGATTGCTGGCCGGAAGAACTTTTATCGAACGCTGCGAGATCGAGTGAGAAAAGAAAGCGCGAGTGCACGAAAGAGCGGAGAGAGGAGGAGGGAAGGAGGGTGCGAGAAAAGTATGCGAGAAGTGAGCCGAGAAGAGCCAAGCAGCGAGAATGGAAAAGAGAAAAAGTGAACGAGAGAGAGAGAGAGAGAGAGAGAGAAAGAGAGAGAAAGAGTGTGTAAGAGAGTGAGAGAGAGAAAGAGAGATTGAGAGCGTGAGAGAGAAATGATCATGAGGTGGAAACCGCTCTCAACAGCGGCAACACCGCGAGTATACAGAAACGTAGCTTCCGAACTTAATTCTGGCGGCTTGGCCGGTTGCCAAGGCTCCTTAACAAACAGAAGAAAAAAAGCAAAAAAAAAAAAAAAAAAAAAAAAAAAAAAAAAAAAAAAAAAAAAGAAAAAAACAGAGGATAAGAGTGGAAAAGAGCAGATAAGAAATAAACGAAGAGGCTAGACATTATCTTTCTTAAAATAACCAGTGTCAAAGTACCGCTATGATAATAAACCGATGTACAAAGATGCAATTTTCCTCGATTCCTTTGATTCGCCTCACTCACCGATCGTCTTTCCGTTAAATTTTTTAATAACTTTTCGTAGTTTTCCTTCCTTTTTCTTTGTTCTTGGAGTTAGAAATCGATTTATCACTATCACCCCGTAGAGAAACGACGTACGGATCGATGACTCTTTTTAAGAAAGATAATTTTCTTCAAAGCAAACGGCTACGCAACGCAGGTAAGTTGATCTTTTTTTTTTTTTTATTGATATATTCTGTCTCACTTCTGTCTCTTCGTTGTCGAGCCTGCCGACGATCTCGATGCGTGAAACTCGATGTACGTATCTTTCACTTGATGTCAGAAATTTTTCCACAATGCCTGACACACGATGAAGTATCGCGTTTGCTTTCGTTTTGCGTGTTCGTGCCGTGTAAATCTCTCGCAGACAGACAACTGCATGCCACCGAGACTTTTGTTGATACGCTCGTCCCTCGCGTATCAATTTCTCTGTCCAAACGTGACGATCCGGCGCATGATTAAGTGTACGAAACTCTGATTCATCGAAACAGAAAGTGACATCGATACAATTTCATTAGGCAGGAATTAACCGAAGACGACTAAAGTACAAAAAGATTGAGCGAAAGAAATTAGGAACGCAAGGAATAGAAAAAGATTTACAATGCGACAACGCGAACGCAAGCAAAAATCTTTCGAATCTCTGAAAAAAAAAGCGCAACGTTGCAACTCCGAAAAATTACTATCAATTGCTACAAAATTGATCAATTTTTGCCAATTTTTGGTAGTTCCAGTTGGAATTTGTTAACAAAAAGTTAACAATTAAAATTTCAATTCAATTAAAAATTAAAATTGAAACAAGTTAACAACACTGCACCGCTCTTGAAAAAAATCCGGAGAAACGTGGGAGAAATTCGTCGTTCCTTCGCGAAAATGAGTTTCGTCTCATCTCCGTCTGACAACGGGATCTCTCATCGGGTTCGTTAGCATGTTAATCGCCGCAACTGACTAATCCGGTTACACACGTTACAACGCGACAACTGCGAGTTCTGTTCATCCCGGCGCGGATGGTTGTGCCGACAACGGCGTCGATGCATTATTGGTTCGAGGCCGGGAAATAAGAAGACCGGGCCGGGGGAAAGAAGAGAAGTCAGGGAACTGTCGGGGAAAAAGATCGACAGCTGTCGGGAAAATCTGTGCCTTTTCGAGATACAAGGCGGTATCCGCTTCGATCCGAGATACAAGGATTTCACGCTTTCAGCCATTTATCGAGCAAACAGATTTCCTGCATCTGCCGCCTCCTCGCCCTGTCTTCCTTTTCTCGCCAGACACTAATCCGACGGAAATTTATCCGTTTCTAAGCTTAAAACAAGAAAGGAAAAGAAAAAAGAGAACAAATGCCGACGGCTCGTCAGGCGAGCGTCGAATTCGGAATTTTTGTACGAAACATGAACGGAATTATGAAGATATTAAACACGTGCCTCGAGCCAACTTTGATATTTTCATTGTTGAACGAAGAATTTTTTAAAAATTTACAAATTTACAAAGTCATGCATCGACATTTTAATGGTACGCATGCCGCGTGTACGATCATTTACAATACTGTCTGTCAAGGCCAACTCAATTTGACAAGAAGACGCTGTAAAATTTGCTATCAAAATATCGTTAAAGTAAATATTATTTATCAGTATTCAGTATTACTGTGTAGTATTTATATAACAAATTATTATCACTAAATATTATTTATGTAACATAAACAATAATACTAAAAATATTCGGAACAAAATGTTTCATTTTAAAATTAATTTCGAAATAATTGTTAAAATAATAAAAGTTAAAGTCAAATTTATTGCTCTGTTTCGTGTATCTGAAATTCTGCAGGCTTTTCTTTATAGTTGTGGTTTCTGCATCATTATAAAATTAAATTTATGTACGACGATTTAGAAGCAAAATTATTGATCATAATCGATCTGACCGGAAAGTAATCAAAAATCCAACCGGCACAGAACGTCTTCAAGAATACTTTCGCTAAAGTAACATTCGTGATATTTTCGAAGAGGGCGAAATCACTTTCTCAGGTTCGCCCGAAAGGTTCCTTATTTTTCCCAACCCCCCACCAATAAATCCGCATTACCCTCTACAACAACAATTTCCCTTTTTTTTTTCCCGTTTTAATCGCATTCGCCAGAGGAAATTCATTTTACGGAACCGTATTATCATACAATTAAAGTGAAAACCATTTCGACGTTATCCCGCGACGGGGAATTTAATTCACAAATTTTATTTTCACTTTTACATGAAAGCAATTTCCGCTGATACAATTATTGACCTCTCGCGAGTTCGTCCTCGCTCTTCGTCCGCAACGCGCCCGCGTTTATCGAGTTAAACGACAGGTAAAACTAATATTGTGCCAACGTCTACAATGACAATGACAATAATAATAATAATAATAATAATAATAATGATAATAATAATGAAAATAATAATAACAAAGAACGAACGTTACGACGAAACGACAGAGTAATCAGAACTTTGTCTGTTCCACGCGCTTGACAAGGCCAAAAAAGGAAACAAAGAAGAAGAAAAAAAAATTGCACGACAGTTGGCCTGGCTGATTAGCTGGCAAGAATTTTCAACGAGGGGAAAAGCGTAGCTTTTTCGACAACGCGACGCGAACACTCCCAGAGTACTCAGGCTGGCTGGCACTCGTTGCCGCGGTTCGCGTCCATAAATTTCGATTTGCAAGAAATTAGAGGACGAAAGAGTACGAGACGAGAGTACGGGCGGCGACGAAAAAAGTTTAATTTTCTCACAATCAGTCTTAATCTCAGTAATTTCATCCCGTTCTTAGGGCCTGGGCCAAGTTGTTGTTGCGTACCGCGACGAACGTTAATATCGGGTTGTTCGCGATAAGCGAGAAGCAGGGAACGGGCTTCGGCTTGCCCGCCGAAGAATATCAGATAACGTCACCCTCTAACGGGCTGGCATCCGGGGGCGAGGGAGTGAGAAAGGGGGGAAAGACGCGGCCGGGGCACCGGTGCCTGCCCGAGAGTTCGAAGCTGCAAAATCACGAGACTTTGAAGCAACGGTAAATGTTGCTACATGAATAATTCGCGGCGAGCGTTTCCCGGTCTCGTAGCCCGCGGCTGAATTTCCCCCGGAACATAGTAACGAGACCGCAACAGGGAAAAACGATATTTAGGAGGGCCGGAAAGGCAGCCGGTGCGTCGCGTCGCGTCGCGTCCTCCCGGCGGAAGAGAAAGAGAGAGAGAGAGAGAGAGAGAGAGAGAGAAATCGTTCCTTAAAGCTCTTGTTTAAATTTCCTATGGAATAACCCTTCGCAGCAGTGCAACTAGGAAATTTAATCACCGTATAGCGGCTCACCCCCTCGGGCTACGGAACTGGCAAATTCAGTAACATCTTGCACAAGTTCGTTATCCCTACCCACCGCCCCCTATCCCTCCCCCCTTTGGCTTGCCTTCGATTCCGGTTTACCCAGACGCCGCTGCTATTTCGCGATATTGACTTCATCGATGAAAAACGGAATCCAGTATCTCAATTTATTTGCATTCCCAGCCGTTCTCCTCCCCTC